TTTGTTTTCTTCATTATATATTGGCAAGCCACCGTCAGAATGTTAGTTACCTTAAATAGATCTTTATTTCACCTGCTACCATTTTTATATCTTTATTAATTTCTCGATTATTTATCTCGCTCCGTGTACTTACCAAAGAAAGTGCCCTAAGCCAGATAAATGAGGTTAGCTTCACCTACAATTAAGGAATGAATTGCTTTTAGAAAACCACTGAATTTATGAGAATCTTGGACGTATATTTATTTTTTCATTGGTAATAACGTAATACTACGTAATGATACTCATAACCTTATTTAATTACTGGTTCATATAACGTGATACTAAGCAAACCGATTTGCTATGCCCTCTAGTGTTAGAGGGCATAGCAAATCGGTGCGTTGTAAATAGCGTTGTAAATAACAACTTCTTCATTTTTATACCATTAGTACCAATGGATTCAATTGCATATAAATAAAAGAAGTTTGAGAGAAACTCGTGCTATCACTTCAATCACACAATAATAATAATAATATTACACTATTAGGTACACTACATATGTTACGTTGTCAAGAAATGATTAATTGTTATTACTGTTTTTTAATTTAAAATGCTAAAATAATATATTAATATTAATTGGAAAAGTTGAAAATAGTAACAAATTAATAACTTAAATATTTAACTACTAATTTACAGATGTCATAATTCCTGTACAAGAACGATCGTAAAGACGCATATGTGCAAGGTGACGGCTAATACAAGCTGCCAAGAAATTTGAAAGGCGAAACAAATAACACTGCAGGTTTCTGCGAACATTTGTTTTGCCGGGATCATTGTGGTGGCTGGCATTGTTAGCGAGTGCTCTATGACACTCAACGTAGCTCGACCTACCGCTATAATAAAAAATAGGTACCTGTAAAACGTTGCGGTTTCCACCGAGTAATGTTCGGCATTTTCTATGAAATTACCTTTTTTGGCAACATAGTTAACCCGTTTCGAATTGGTAATGTAATTCGTCAAATCTGCGAAGTATCTTAAACATCTTGGATTATCACAAATTCGTCGAAAACTTTTTTAGGCTTATGAATTGGATGAGAGTTGTGTTGTTGGAGAATTAAAACAGTCTGTACATATACAAAGTCATTGTGGTGATTTTTAAAAACACTTCGTACTTTAAATATTTATATTAATTTCTAAAAGTAAGATGTCCTAGGATTCGTCTAAGCAACCCATGTTTTGATCTGACTCCACAAAACAGATTTTTTTAATAGTGTTCGAACGAATTATTAAAGAAAAATATTAAAATTATGGAAATTATGGATTGGGACATAAATATATTTGATATTTATGTCCAAATCGGCAGCAAGTCATCGGAATAAATTTGCCATTTTAGGCCAATGCGATGTCTACAGCGGTGTTCAAAAAACTTAGCAAGAATGGGATAACAGTAATTTAAACAAGACGAAGTCATTAATTATCTTAACCCCATTAATTCCGTGGTATTCTAACCCTATTTAGGTAGTTCCCGCAAAATCCCCAGTAAAGTCGGCAATTCCCGCAAAATATGTAAACGCTACTAGCAACAAGCTTGTAAAAAAATATTGAGATCATATAACGCGGATGCTAGAATTTTCTCGGTAAATTTGTCACATCGACAATAACGTTCAGTTATAGCACTACGGGTTTCAACAATATTTATTATGATACTGATATGAAATACCTCTTAGCGTTTCCTGCTTCTGACAGTCTCGGTAAGTTATTGCCGTTATGTATTAAGGGTTTATTTTCTTTTTGTAATAAATCATTGCGTAATACTTGTTAATATTGTTAGAATAGGATATTGCTGAAGCTAAAATTAGTAATAAAATATTATCAGAAAATAATCTCTGAATAAGAAGAACTTTTCGTATTTTATCAGACTTGAAATTTGACGTATGTGCCTCGAAAATATATATAACATCTAGCAATTGGTGTTAGGCTTATCTACAGGGTCCAATTATGTATCTAAAAATATATCAAAAACTCACAAAACTACACAGGAATTAATGTCATAACAAAGTTAAATAAGAATCCTAGAACCCGACTGCAATAGTCTTATTGCAAATAAAGTCGTTGGGACACTAACTCAACTGCCGAAGTACTAAAAATTGAGTAACGTTATTAATTTTTGCTAACGGTAATAATATTAATGATATGCTCGTATATCGTTAATAACGATTAACATAATGTTAACTTTACTAAGCATACTGCATTTCGAGTTTCATACAATGGAGACTAGGGTTTTTTTATCTTGAGGATTTCTTTTTATTTATTGGAGACTAATAAATAAGAAAAAACTTCAAGATAACATTGACAGCGTCGTGTTTGTTGTTGCGCCTTCTTTTTACGTATGATGGCTTCAAAGTGTATGTGTTTCTACAAACATGCATCTCCAAGACAGCTCCAGCAATACCCTAATACAGTTATTAGACTAGACATATATACACTATGGGTTTTATAATATGGAATATAGACTTGATACATTTTAAATAAGAACAGACAAAAACTAAAAACATCCCCTATATGATAAAGTGTTCCAAATAACAATATAACATTCACCCACCACATACGTTATAATATGGAAACCTCAACCTAAATCATTTAGATAAAAAAAAAACGATAATGCCAGAACAATCTGCAGTAAATAAGTGAAAGAACATCTGTTCTTTCACTTATTCCTCCGTCTTTTTCTTGCTTTTATTAGTCGATTATCATCGAGCCCCTAGAGACAATATTATATGCAGAGTCCTTTGAAGGTATTAATTGCTTGTTGTATTGTTATTATAAAAATTCTAGCTTTTATCACTTTCGAGTTCTTGAGTGGAGACCGCGTCTCGACAAACGATGATCCCTTTCGAATTGAAAACTTCTTAGACAACTTTAATGAATTGCAATGAAAAATTCAATAGAACGGGTTTTTCTTTTTCCTTTAACCGATTTGTTTATATTCCCTGTAAACAGAGCAGAGGTATTAATAAAATTTGTATTAGAAATGAGATGTTAAAAAAGTAAGAGTTAATGTTACGCCGCGTCTAACAGGGAATCATAACAGTAGAGAATATATTATTGTAATTTGAACAGAGATTAGATAGATGAACAGGACGCCGACTTTTTTTTTAATACTGGCACAGAATATATTGGCAAAGTACTATAAGGACTAAGAATAAATGTTTACAACAAAAAAACAATAAAAGTATTTGTAATCAAATTTATCAATAAAATATCAAGTAGAATATTCTTTGACAATTTTTAATTAATGTTAAGTAGCTTACTTAGTAAAATTCGGTTCATTATTCTCGTGTTGTGATATCATGAAAGAAAGTAATTGTATATATTTTGAAGGTATTATAATATTAATAATATTATAAATCTTTAGAAGATATACAAAGTGGCTAGATAATAATAATTTAAAGATAAATGTTAATAAAATCAAACTAATACAATTTACTCAAAGAATACCAACATTTCATCATCATCATTGGTATAGGGTTTGTGTCAAGTTTTCTTTCTATCTGCAGTGCTGTTGTCCTGCGTAGTTTGCTCCCTTAGTCACCTTAAATTTACATTTAAAAATTTGGAAAATAACTATAACAATACTGAAATTGGCGAGGTTACGACCACCAAATTTTTAGAACTAACCATTGACGAGCACATACGGAAGGACTATGTAAAAAAACAGCAGTACAGCATACGCGCTATTCAAACTTGCATCCGTGCCTTTATTGATGCCTTCCTCACAGCATATCATGGAGCAACTGCTTCGTATCTCAGATATAGTATATATTTTGGGTGATTCTACAAATAAAGACATAGTATTTTGGGCCCAAAAAAAAATGTATACGAGCAATGTTTAATCTTAAAGTTCAAAATAGCTGTGAACATTACTTTAGACAATATAAAATCCTGACGTTACCTTGTTTGTACATTTTTGAAGACTTGAGACTTTTTGAGACCCGGATACCCGGTCGGTCACTCGTAACGAGAGAAAAAACATCCAAAATAGATTACGATTGCATAAAGCAAATACAGCACTACTGCATAACAGTATTTACTGCATGACACCAAAAATTTATAATAGATTACGAGATCAACTAAAAATCTTAAATAGTAATTTTTTCAAAAAACGTTTACATCACTTTCTAGTCAGTAAAACCGGTTATAAAATTAGTGATTTCCTCGAAGGTAAATAATATAGCTAGAAAAACAAATTTATCTTATATACATACATATTGTTGACATTTTATTATTATTTTATACTTGATTGATTTTTTTTGTTATTAGTTATTACATGATTATAATTCTATTATTTATTATTTTTACACATGATTGACATATTGACATTTTATTTCTGTATTGACATGCCGTAATAAAATGAATTTAATTTAATGAATTTAATGAATTTATTTTACTTATATTCTAAAATACTTGGTTGTCTGATTGGTTTGTTTGTATTATAAATTGTACTGTTAATTTTTATTATTAGTATGCATTGGAAGTATTTATGTTAATTTGACCTAAAATATTTTTGAAATGAATGTAAATTTGTACCAATTTTACGTTGATACATGTACCTATTTAAAAACTAATTATTACACAATTTGCATGACAGTAACGGTAGATTAAGGAGAACGATATCAAATGTAAAGTTAACATACCCTTTATCAGCAAATAAATATTATTATTCTCTTGATTTCATTAAATATACATATAAATTACATTTTTCATTACAAAAAAATACATTTAAAAATATAAAATTAGTAATTTAATAAAAGAATATAATATATATTATAATAATATTAGTAAACCCATAATAAATTCAGTTGGAAGTTTTAGTTGGAATCAAAATAATGAAATTGAACAAAAACATATGTACATACTGATTAGTGTGTAGAAGTTGATTTATAGAATCTGTAAATACAATGATGTGATTTAGAAATAAAAAATAATTTCTAAAATTAGAAAAAACTCAGTTTTGAAGTTCAATAATGATTGTTATTACGAAAATCTTTGTAGCTAAAATGTCCTTGCAAAATGGACGCCATTTTAACGGAGTTAGTTGAGCCAGTTAAAAAATACATTAATGATATTATCTAAACCTTGAGGCCTTTTAATTGATAACTTCATATCGCTGCTATCTCTCCTTTTATATTATCGATGTTCTTTCGTGGGAGAGCCATTTTTCGGCACATTTGATCGTTGAGTAGCAAGTGATCACTTACCATCAGGTGACAGGTCTGCTCGTTTGCTCGCGGTTTGGGTAAGGTTGGAAATAAAATCCGTTTATAGGTTAGGTTGTAATATTTTATTTATCATCTGGCATTACTCAAATGACCTCGCCACTGAGGGCCTATAAAATCGCATTGGCAAACTCAACCCCAATCATAATAAAATTGTGCAATAAAAAAGCAATCTCTACGCAAAACAAATGTGTGTGATTGACTTGACTATAAAAGCTTTCATATTGTTTTAAAGCGATGGACCCTGGAGAGTAGCATGGTGGTGATGAACGGCGTTCACGAGTAGCAGTTGTTTCTCCAGTTTAAAAACACTGTGATGGTTATGGCCGACACACGTTATTAAATGAATCTTTACGATATCTGAACCTTTACCTGTAATGGAATTAGTATACATATTTTTCAAGGCTGTCATTTGAAATTCAACAAAAAAGATTTGATTGAAATCCATTCAGGATCAATTTTTTTTTATATTTATAAACGGGATTGTTTACGCCCAATAAAATTATCCTGCAATCTACTATCTATAAATATAAGCAGTATTTGGAACGCTGCCTGAAATACAAAAGCCCCTTTAAGTAAGAATTCGAAACATTGGTGAAAGTCACGAGCACATATTATTACCCGCACTATTTTATGATGGAAAATGAAGTATTAAGTATAGTAATTAAGTAAGCGTAGTGAGTATTAATAAATGATTCTGGTTACATTTGGGTTAGATCGATAATACAATACCATTTTGACTACCACCGAAGATTACTTTTTAAACCAAAGTTAAGATGAGTTTTTGGTTGAAATAATATAAATCATTCTTTGAATGTCAGAATTGCTATTTTTTGCAAACTTTGCAAACACAAATGAATTCAAATTTATCGTATTTGGAAATTATGAATTCAAATGAATTCAAGTTGAATGAAATGTGTTTCTTTTTAGTTTGAATAGGACCAAGTGACTTGTTTTCTCCTTTCATTTTGGATTGAATAGTAAAAAGCGATTCCTTTGATAAGGGAGATGATATTTTACTGGATTTTTGACTTGAAAATTATCGCCGCCAGCCTTTAACAAACCTTTTGATCTCAATCGCATAGATCTTTCGAGACCTATTTATAACTGCATTTAAAAATGCTTGGGATGTTATACGTCTATTCAAATCTATGCGAGGTTATAAAGGGAGATGGGATCAAATGGTCTCAAACTAAACTAAACTTTACTAGCTCTTCTAGTATCAAGTATAGTGCTACTACACACATCATACACGATATAGTTTATTCACTACACTACAAGCTCATTTTCCAGCCGAGACTAATACTAATCTTAAATAGTCTATACACATCGAGAAAATTGTTGCGGTACTTTCTAATTCCATGGTACGCATATATTTAATAATTACTAAAAAGCGCTTTTAAGATGATCCATCATCTTAAAGGTGCTTTTTAGACCTAAACAAGGGGTAACTTGTAGTATTGGTATTGGTACCAAAACATGGATAAACGGACAAAAAAAAGATTTCAATTCAAATAAACTTATTTATCCTTAGAAATACTGAGCCAGAATTAAACTCTGTCTTTGACATAGCCGGCGGATATTCTAATACTGATCTACATGTAATAAGTTCTAAAAAAAAATTGTTGTTCCAGATCATGATGAGTACATCTCGAATGGTGACAGTTTACTTCCTATTGACCCTGGCTGCAGCAGCAACGGCCATTAAGTGTTGGAAGTGTGGCCAGTACAGCGACGGTGTGGGATCTATTACCCCATGCAATAACAGGAGTGCCACCAGGCTTGAAGAGTGTCCCAGTAACGCGAAGTATTGTATTGTAAGTAGACATTAATTTACTTAAAGAAAAACTGTGACCTTTTCCGCTTACTGATACATGTATATCAGTTATTTAAATTATTCAGTTATAAGCCTTTTCTTTCTTCTAATTGAAAGCTTGTCTTGCAGTATACTTTAATTCTTCTGAAAAAAAGCTTTTATAAAAATAAATTTATTTACATAAACTATATGCAAAATAAACAATGGATGACTTAATGCCGTAAAAGAAGAAACGAAATCAATAAAAAATGTTGTATGTTTGATAATGTAAAAAGAAAAATCCAACTGTCTTCAAGAAGGAGGAGATTATCAATCCGGATATTTTTTGTTATGTATGTTCGTGCATAACTCCGTCAGATATAGACGGATTTTCAAAATTCTTTTTTTGGTTCGAAAGGGGTTTATTCCGAAATGTTTTTATTTCCATTTAAATTTCATATAGATCTGAACTCTTCAAAAAATGAGGTTTTTAGTATTGTTTGAAGTCGGTTCAACTTCTTTTTAAAAAGGATTTATTTCCTACACATTTCTATAAAATTAAACATAAAAAAAACATTTCCAAAAAGCTACAAGTAGCCATATTTTCTTTTTTGCCGAAATACAGGATAATATAATGAAGAAAAAATAAACTTCTTTCACAAATTGGCTAACTAAACTAAACTTTGAAGGCTTTTCGGGATAGTTTTATTATTATAAAGTAAGTATTATTGGGATAGGTTTCTATGAAAAAACTTCCTAACAATGTCCGTTTTCTGGGTAGACATTTTTATCCAAAGTGTGTTAGCGCCCTTGGTGTAGACACAGTACTTATAATTTCCTACACTGAATAGTTTTTAGGATTTCCTTTAATGAGACACAATATGTTGAATAATCTTTTAATATGTGGACAAACATTTAATTAAATATCACTTAATAGCGGCGGATTAAGAATGCGGACTATCACCATGCGCATGTTTATCCCATGGGTGTCGTTAGAGCTGACTAAGGGAGAAAACTGGATTGCAAAGAGAAGGAAAACTTAACACGAACCCTATACCACCTGTCTGACCAGCGTGATGTAGTAGTGGACCATTGAAGTCTGCTGATGATGATTGATCGGATCCCCGTTTGGGTTTGGACTAAAATGAAGGTCACAATGTTGTTTAAAGCTTTCTCCACTGAAAATGTTGTATTTAAATTGTTAACTGCTTGTTCCAATAATAGGCCTCACATTACCAAAGGCAGAGGTCCTAGCTATATTTGGTTTAGAGGTATAAATCAAAGAATTTAAGCTACAAAAATAAGTACTTATTTTCGTCTGACCTCACGTATTTTATATTTGATGTTTCACCATTGGCTGACGGCCAAAACTTCGCCTTTTGAAGTATTCCTGAATTTTCACGAGTAGTAATTACGTTACCACCAAAACATTCGAACTAAAATAACTACTATTAGACCGAAAAATGAAAGTCAGCAATTCTGAAGTGAATCTAAATTACACGCAACATATTTACGAAGAACCGCACCAAGGTCTTCGAAACACTTTATACAAATTACAGAATAGGTATTATTATTGTTGTTTTAAGTGCCTAGTGCTAGCTATTATGACTCATGGATTGGCGAAACGCAAGATTTTTACAACCATTGATGCATTTGAACAGACATATAGTAATTTACAGTAAATTATACTTAGGGCATACTAAAAGTTTCTGGATTCTGTATAAATAAAATTAGATATAAGACTTACGATACATTTGTTGTTTTTCAAAGTATATTCCCTTGCAATTAATGAATTATTGCATTCGCTGAAACCACTGTACAAAGCAGTGCAAATATACAGAGCTGCGACATGGTGCTTTATCACCAAATGCCAATTGAAGTCTCTGGCAACTCTCTTTGTTGACTTAAGCCACAACGAAAATCATAAAAAGTAATTGAACAAAAATGTTCACGGGTTAAATTCATTTCGATAGCGACACACAATAATCGAAAGGACGTCACAATGAAAAAACAAATGACAATCTCGCAAATTAAAAAGCAACATGTTCCCAAAGAGTTCCATTTTCGAATTCCATAATTGTTTTTTCATTCTGTTATTGTATGTGGCCAGATCCATAGACTTTCAGTATGTCACACGTAATAATTGCTGAAACTGGATATTTCAAATACGTTATAGATGAGTATAGTTTGCCGTTAATGCAGCGTAGCACACAATATCAATATTAAGGTACAATATATAGCGAAACAATTTTTATTTTTAGGCTTAGGATCTCGACAATAAGCCCCGGAGGCGAAAAACGATAACGATGAAAGCTATAGTAAAAACACTTTCCTTTAAAGAAACAACCACAGCTAAATTTACATCAAATCCATTCTTAACTTGCTGATCCGGCCAACAAATAAATGGATTCTGAGTCACATTGTATCTTTTACATACAAATCCTATACTGTAAAGTTTAAGTTAAACTATCTTTATTTATATTATACTAGCTTTATGATTGCCAGCATAAAAAGTATCCTATGTCCTTCCCCGTGACTCAAACTACCTCTATACTAAATTTCATCTAAATTGGTTTAGCGTTTTAAGCGTGAAGAGGTAACAGACGGACAGACAGACATACTTTCGCATTTATATTCTTAGCATGGATTTTTAATAAAAACACCTTGCACCAAACACTGGAATAGTTCCTTATTGCAAATAGTTCTTCATTTGAATCAAATGAAGCGGCTACAGTTTGCCGCTAAATGCACTTGACTTTTATCAGTATTGTTGTTCAATACAAACTCAAAATATCAAATCTATACTCTATACTCTTCAATTATAATAATGTTCCTGAGAAAACATTTGTTAGTATACATACTCGTATATGTATATGTAGACTTCGGCCCACATCTTACATTCAATATTACTCTTTGAACTCTTACCCACTTACAATAGAATGAACGAATGAATGAATCAAGTCTACAACTGAATTTAACGTTCGTTAGTACTCTAATGAGTACGTGCAGGCACGTGGAACTAATGTTCCACGTGCCAGAACCACTAGCATGCCTTTAACGTATTTTATGACAGAACTTACTGAGGCCTGTACAAGCTTTTAAGCCGATCTATTTCAAAGTAGTAGTAATCGCTTAACGCTTTTTTATTAGCTTCATTTGTAACTTTGTGAACAAATCTTAGAAGTCAAGTTTTACCTACTTCTATTTCACGTGTCTGAATGATAATGCTATGATTTGTGACCTAGTAATGAGGTATTTGATAGTACATCTCTAAAGCAGTTACTAGTATACTCCTCGAAATTCAACTCATAGGATTCATTTTAATGAGTAAAACGGGATCATAGTAGGATGGTGGCACTCCTTTCATCTTTTCCTGCTATCAGATCGTGCTTTTTTAGTTTTTCTAAACTATAAATTATGTATTTTCTACTACCTTTGTTTACTAAGAAAACTTTCTTTTCAAATTTTTAAAAAATATATTCGCCATCATCAGTGATTATTTTTGCTTTTGATACTGGCTTTATCTACGATACGGACGTGGACTTCGATAATTACAATATGAACTTATACTGATTATAGATAAAACCTAGTCAAGACTGATACCGAACCCAGCTATTAATCTCATATTGAAGGCAATCGTATTAATTGATATCTGTGGAGAGCGACTAATTTACGGCGATTATATATAAGGTAAATTATAACTTGTTATTTAGCCAAGCAGAAAGATTTACTGGTATCAGGATCTAATCTAATTAATTAATTAGTTACTACCTACCTACCTACTTTCGAAAGTTTTGGTAAAAATATTTGCCCCTTTAGTAGAATACAAACATGTTAAAATAAGGATTATGTTAGAATCCCATCAAGGAGATCAATTTTCGTTTGATACCGCCGCGGTCCGCTTCAATAGGGGTCTTCGCTCAATATCCGGAGAAGACGACGATTGCAAGGCCATTATTCGCGAACCGGTTTGAGATGACGTCAGTCTTAGCCATAGTTAAACATTCTGATCAAGGCGCACTTAGTGTTAGCACACACGTGTAGGGCAATGTAGTAAATAAAATTTTATCAGTAACATTTGTGTTTGATTCTGGACCTTACACAGTTTATTAAAAAGACAACTAGAGCCAACCTATAGTAAATGAATTCACTTTGGCGAAAATATGTTTTGGGCCGACTTGTTCTTAATGCGTTTAATAAATGCATACACTAAAACTTGATTAGTATAAAAAGATAATGAAAGTAAGTCTTTGATTGGGATCTTTGTATTGCAACAGTACTAAGTATCAAGTATTATAATTGATTTATTTTGACTATTGGATAGATCCATAAACCGAAAGAAAAAATATTACTGCATAAGTAGGATATGCCAAAGAATGATATAAAACCTTCACCGTATTGTGGTATATTTCTCTATAAATTCCATAAGTACATGTCATCTTTCTTTTGTACGAAAAACGAGTTTGAATAGAACTTTATTACTAAGTACCCACTATCCTTCTATCTCTGAGTGGCCTGAATTTCATATACTGTAACATGTAGACAATTAAAATAGTAACTAAAATCACGTTACATTAAAATCTAACAGAGGGTTCCACACAAGTATCAGCGTTTTAAGAAGATAATATAGAATAAGACAACTGTAGGACGACTATGTAATAAGAAGACTGTTATAGTTTTCTCAGACTGTGTATTTCTGTTCTCAGTATAGCAGCAAAAAAGATAAGTGAAATAACTTTTTGGCGTTTTCGTTAAGCCTTCGTCTTATATGAAAGACGATTTAAGAACGATGCTACGATACCTATCGTGTGCAAGACTGGCTTAGCTCGCAATCACTTGACCGATTCTTTCATATATTTAGCAGCAAACTATTAAAAATATTGCCAATGAAACCTTAAAAAATGGCAATTATTTCTAACATCACTTCAGGAATTTATCCGATGACACTTCGACGCTACTCTACTTAAGCTGGTCAAAGACAAGGTTATTAAGATAAAGTTCTGAAGGTCTCAATGAACGGAT